GTTTCGTTATGCTGTGCATAAGGTCACTATGGGTCAATATTGACTCAATGGCACCTAACAACAACAACAACAATATAGTCACAGGGACACTTTGGCTTTTCGTTGAGAAAAGCACTGTATCATACATCAGGAACTAAAAACATTGCATTTGTTTTTATATTGAACTCTCATAACCCAAGGAGGTAAACTATATTGATCTCATTTTATAGATGAGCCAAGTGAGGGAGGTTCAACAGCTTGCCGAAGGTTAGATGATTGATTAGTGACCAACATGGGGATCTGTGCCTGTTTGCCTGGCTACCACGCCTGTACACTTTTCACAAAGCGGCCTTGCTGCCCGACTCTTTGAATTGGTGTATTGTTCTCTGGTGGAAAGTTTCTCTCTAGCACTGGGAACCTGTTGTTTGTTTGCCTTTTGCTTTCCTAATTCTTTTCTACACCAGGCCTGGACAGTGACTACTCAGACAAAACATGGTGGCTTGGAAACCATTTTTTTGAGTCTGTACTCCCCCGAACTGGTCATTTGCAAATGGCATTTGTACCTACAAACAAGTGTGTATGAATTAAGGCATTTCTATTCACTGAGTTGTACAGATGTCTGAATTATGAAAAAGCAAAGGGCTCAGTTTGTTCAGGTTTCCATGAAGGAGGAAGTCTAAGCCTAACCTGTGTTGCAGAAGAAGTGTGTTTTGATGATAACGTTAACACTGTCCTCTTACGCTCTTCCTTCTAGATGACTTCTACAAGGGCTGGTTCAGATACTCTTCCCAATTCTGAGGATACTGAGACTAAGGTAGTTGTGAAGCTCTTTGGTGCTGACCCCATGACGGTGATGGTCCCGAAAGAAGTCTCCAGGAATCAGCCTAACTTTATGGAGACTGTGGCAAAGAAAGCCCTGGAGGAGTTCCGCCAAAAGAACCAGTGAGTGTGTGGACCTTCACAGCTGCCAGCGTCCTGGGAACAAACAAACAAAAATAAAGACCAAAAGCAGCACAGCTTGGAGATGTTCACTGCTCCTGTAGCCAGGAACCATTCGGGGGTTTAGTTTTCCTTTAGAAGACGTTCTTTCCTACTTGATAAGAATTTGACTGTTGGTCTTGCCTCTCTGTGAATGTTGAACCTTCTTCTCTCCCCGCCCTCCTTTTTTTTTTCCAGAGAGGAGTGAGATGTGAAGGCTGCTTTTCAGAGCAACTGAGTCCAGTCCTTCCAAGATCAGTTCCAGGCCTCCACAAGGGAGCTCTGTACGCCACCAAGTAACTAGGTCTGTTCTGGGCTCTAGGTCCTCCCCTTCCCACCTCCCCCACCTGCTCCACCTCCCTTCTGGATTCTGCACTCTTAATGCCTGCATTTGCTGCTAGTGGAAAGAAATTCTTTCACATGCAACTAATTCAATAAAACTACCTTGTGTCTGATTGCTCTGGAATGTCCTGTTTTTATGCTTTGCTTGTCAGATTTCCCCTACTCCATTTTGGTATGAAAAAGCAGTGGTGAGAGAATGGTATATTGTTTTTATGTGCTGTCGAGTAGGTTTCAATTCGTAGTGATTCTGTGTACAATAAAACGAAAACACTGCCCTGTCCTGAAGCATCCTCACTACTGTTGTTATGTTTGAGCCCATTGTTGATGCCACTGTGCCAGTCCATCTTGTTAGGGGACTTCTTTTTCACTGATCTCCTGCTTTACCATGCAGGATGTCCATTGGTCCCTCGTGTCCAAAGTACGAGAGAGGAAGTCTTGCCATCCTTGTTTCCAAGAGCAATCTGACTATACTGTTTCCAAGACAGATCTGTTCTTCTGGAAGTCTGTGATATTTTCAGAATTCTTCACCATTACCACAATTCAAACTCATCAGTTCTATTCCAGGCTTCCATAGTCACTGTCCAGCTTTCACACGCATATGAAGGGATTGAAAATACCATGGCTTGGGTCAGACACATCTTAGTCCTCAAAGTGACATCTTTGCTCTTTAACACTACAAAGAGGCTTTGTGCAGCAGACTTACTCAATGTAATACGTTGTTTGATTTCTTGACTGCTGCTTCTATGAGTGTTGATTGTGGATCCAAACTGGTATGTTGTTGTTAAGTGTCATTGAATCGGTTCTGACTCATAGCATCCCTGTGTAGGGCTTCTGAGGAGTGGGAGGTTTGTTTGAACTGCTGAGCTTGCTGTCCAGTGTTTATCCTACAGCACCACACCAGGTATGTTGTTGCTGTTGTTGTTAAGTGCTGTTGAGTTGGTTCTGACCCCAGCAACCCTGTACAGGATTTTCAAGGAGCGGTTGAACCACTGACATTGCTGTTCAAATGACCTTGCTTAGGGATTAACATATACTTGAGAATAAAAAGGTATGAAGGTAAAGTTCTTATTTTGAGAGATGGATCCCAGCAAGCCAATTAGAATATTTCTGTAAAACTAGTCTTTCCTATTTCATTATAAAACCATACACAGATTCAGGCGGGGCTAATGAAAGGAGATGGGGATAGGTCTCGTCTCTTGTGATACAATAGTGAATAATTGTTATCAGGATTGACTGTGACGGTTGGAAATGTAAAGATGGACATTTTGTAGCAAAAGGAGGGGAGTGATTGACTTTGCAGTCCAGGAGCGGAGGCCCCTAGAACGAACAATCAAAGGAGAAGAGCGGAGAGCGAGACCCTGCCCAGAGAAGCAGTGATTCCAGAGATGGTGGCAGAGACAATGACATGACGTGGAGAGATGGAGCAGTTGGGGACTCTAGACCCAGAGAGGGAGAGGGGCCGTGTGCTGACAACCGGGGGGCAGGCTTGCAGGGTTGGTTGATAATGCATGGAGGGGATTGTAACCATGACAACGAAATGATTATACGATAGGATAAATGTAAAACTAATGTTCTCCCATGTAAACGTCACATAATTCACAATAAAACATTTAAGAAAAAAAACAACAACTAATGTTCTCCCATGTAAACTGTCACATAATTCACAATAAAACATTTAATAAAGCACAAAAATCCATACACAGATTCTAATTGGAGAAAAATTTCCTGAAGGAATACATTGAAAATAATGGTGGAGACAGGACAATAATAAATTCACAGGTATACTAGGTATTTTAATAATATAAAATAAATACAAATGGAAATTGTAGTCCCTAAAAGACAAAACAAGGCAATTTTGAGTTGGATCAGCTAGGATTCGCCATGGCTCCTCCTTGAAATTGTAGTCCCTAAAAGACAAGGCATTGTTTGTGTGCTGTCAGTCCCTACTATCTTCCTGTCTGTCCCTGGAACACAGGAAATTCTTTGCCTAAGTTTATTCTGGCGACTTGCTGCCAGTTGTTGACGTAGAGTGTATTCCAACTCATGGCCCATTCAGGTGTGTCAGAATGCTCCCAAGGGTTTACAGTGACTGATTTTTTAGAAGTAAATCACCAGGCTTTCCTTCTAAGGCACTCTGGGTGGACTCGAATCTCAGACCTCTCAATTAGTCAAGCAAGGAGCTCTGGTAGCATAGTGGTTATGAATCAGGCTGCAAACTGCAAGGTCAGCAGTTCGAAACTGCCAGCTGTTCCACGGGAGAAAGATGAGGCGTTCTGCTCCCGTAAAGATGTGCAGCCTCGGAAACCCTGTACAGGGTCGCCATGAGTCAGAACCGACTCCAAGGCGCATAACAACAACAACAACAATTAGTCAAGCATGTAACTGTTTATACCATTCAGAGAACTTGTAACTCATTCAGAAATATAGCTGGGCTGCAATACCCTATGACAACCAACAGGCAGCCCCTGCCAACCATGGTACATGTCTCAGAGTTAACCAACTCTTTCCATTTATTATTATCTTCTAATTATAGAATTCTTTTCATCAAATATATTTTAAATGGAAAAAAAATTCTCTGAATGTGTTCCATAGATGTGTAGCAAAATTGACATGTAAATTAATAACTTCGAATACTCTTAGATCACTGTTATAAGCAACTCAACCACATGAGTAACTGACTTTTAATGATGAATGTGTCAAAAGAAGCTAATACTGGTAGCTTAGTGGTTGCGAATCGGTCTGCAAACCGCAAGGTCAGCAATTTGAAACTACCAGCTGCTCCGTGGGAGAAAGATGAGGCTTTCTGCTCCCGTAAAGATTTACAGCCTCGGAAACACTGTACAGGGTTGCTATGAGTCAGAACTGACTCGAAGGCACTTAACAACAACAACAACAACATCAGGAAAACTGAAGTCCTGGTGTGGGCTGTGGGTTAATGCACTGGACTGCAAGGTCAATTTGAACCACAAGGCCAGTGATTCAAGCTTACCAGTCGCTCCTTGAAGACCCTATAAAGAGTTGCTATGGGTCAGAACCAGCTCAATGGCACTTATCAACAACATCAAGAAAATTCAGAGTAAATTTAATTTGGTTCACTTAATGATATACAGAGTCCAGGTGTGGCGCTGTGGGCTAATGCATCAGACTGCAATGTCGTTTGAACTGCAAGGTCGGCCGTTCAAGTTCATCAACTGCTCCTTGGAAACGCTATACAGGGTCACTATGGGTCGGAATCGACTTGACGGCACTTAACAAAAATGAGGCTTTCTGCTCCTGTGAAGATTTAAAGCCTCGGAGACTCTATACAGGGTCACTATAAGTGGGAACCAACTTGACAGCACTTAAAAACAACAGTGAAATACAATGGAAGCTCAGTGGCTCTGTAGAATAAACTACTGGATTGTGAACCACAAGTGGTGTAATGTATAACAACAACAATATACATTAATTGAGTTGTGGGATCAGAAGGCACTTATAATAGTGACTAACTGTAAGTTAGATATCACAGTAGTGTCAGCTGTGTTATTGTTAAGTACCTTCCAGACTCACAGTGACCCTGTGGGAGTTCCTGTACATCTTGATGGGAGCAGAAAGCCTCATCTGCGAAGCAGCTGATGGTCTCAAACTGCCAGCCTTATGATTCACAGACTGGTGTTTATCCTACAAAACCATTGTACCTGTTGTTGCTAAATGCTGTCCAGCCTGTTCTGGTTCACATGGGTCCTATGGAGGGTTTCCGAAGAGCAGCTGGTGGGTTAACAGTCCAGTGCTTATCCTACAGCACCACACCTAGCACACATTGTCATCATTAAGTGCTGTCGAGTTGGTTCTGACTCATAGCAACCCTGTATAGGGTTTCCAAGGAGCGGCTGGTGAGTTTGAACCACCAACCTTGTACTTCAAACCTACTTTGCAGTCCAGTGCTTTATCCTACAGCACCATACCTAGTTCACATAGCACATTTTAAAAATGATTTTCTCTTTTTCATTGTTACATTGCTAGATTCAAGGCCCACTAGATTCAGTCTTTTCTTTTCATGCAACCTGATTTAAACTTGCACAGAGTAACGGTCCTGAAGTGACTGCATTTCCTTAAGATTCCTTCTCCCTACCTTCTTCCCCACTTAGCAGCCAGGCCTGGGTTTCAGGGGCCTTGGATGCACTTCCATCCCTGAAAGGAGTTCCAGCCTAAGACACTAGAAAACAGTGAGGCAGGACATGAGATCACCAGCACAGGGATGAGACTCAATCATTCAGAAGCTGAGAGATGGATGTAATGCACCCTTGGTGTCTGATTTCTAGGACTGGTGTGGCAAAGTGAGAGAAGGCCTTGAGGCTGATGCTCTGAGAAAAGCTGCATTTGCATCTGGCTAGAAAAGGGGATAGTGGCTACCTTGCCATTAGCTCTTCTGTTGACACTTGATTGCTCCTGCCAGAATATTGTCATAAATGATCTCTAATGGCTACACAGTAAAACGACATCAGGGGTTGTGCCGTGCACAACTTTCTCAACTGTAAAGAGTAGATGTGGGTAAACCAAAGTTCTCTAACATCTGGGCCAACTGCTTCACTACAGAGGCACTATGAGTTGATTCTGACTCATAGTGACCCTATACAGGGTTGCTGA